GACCCCTTTAAAATACACTCCCGTTAAAATCAGTGAAGCTATCTACACTGTATGATGAATAAATCTCTTATACTTGCATCGCACGTACATCTGCACTTTGTTGTTTATGATGAAAGAATTCGCGAGTCAGAATTCAGTCAGCGCGCGCTGAACAACGGAACCCCGCTGTTTCAGCGATGACTCATCTGAACGCCTCTGATTGGCCATTGCATTTATAAGCGTAACATAATCGTGTGTGATTGGTTATAACGCACAACACTGTTAAAACGCGGAAAAAGAAATATAATGGAACAAATAAGCCCTAATATTAATTAAATAGTAGGCTATTAGTAACCTGATAATAATAATTATAATTATAATAATAATAATCGTCTTGCTATCGTCAGTGGCATCAGCCACAGTCGATATCTCTGACTATCGTCGATACACGATGGGCTACTATCGTCTATCGGCACAACCCTAAACACTGTATGGAAACCCTGAACACCTGGATGGAAATGAACAGCTTGAACATTCTGTAACATTTTTGGCCCATTGAATAAATAAATAGTACACTGAAACTAAAAAATGGTGTATTTACTAATTGAAACTATTCTTACTCAGAAATTGCTAATACATTTCACAAAGTAGGCTATTACAAATAAACGGCAAGTACCGCATTTAATTAAACATGAAAAGACTGAAGTAGTATTTCCTCAAATATTTACAACTTTGAGAAATCTTTTTTTTTTTTTTCATTTACAGTGTAATATGGGTGAATAAATGACATCATTTGTGTCAGCTAATATTCTGTCATTAACTGTATTTATTGTTGATTGTCAGATTTTGAAGAAAGCTTTCTACAGTGGATACCAAGATACCGTATACTTCTTGCAGCAGAGCAGTGAGTGACTGTATTGCAAAATTTATTGTAATTTTTTTTTTTTATTATTTAAATTTAATGTTTAAGTATTCATAGGTATGTATACACTTACTTTTTTTTTGCATTTGATAAGAGTGATGCATACAATGTCAACCTATGACTAAAACCCTTTCATGTAAACAATTGTAGAGATGTACAAATGCAAGGAAATCTTTTGCCCTATTTTGAAAGACTGATTGGAAATGTTCAATACTCAGACACATCGATCTTAAAACAAGCTGGAATAAGTCTATGAAAATGAATAGAGGATTTGTAAATATTTCTAAAGTTTACATATTGTTACGAGCTCCCCTGTCTAGGTAGAGAAGGAACCGATTAAATAAAATAAAGAAAGAATTTAAATAAACTAAACAAATTGTACTGCATCAGCACCGCTCCTGCCCCCATAGCACTGGCATCGACCTGTAACTTGAAAGGTACATCAAAATTTGGTGCAGAGAGAACTGGGGCATTACAGAGAATGTCTTTAGCAGCTCGAAATGCACATTCACACTCTGGAGTCCACACAAAACTCCTAGAGGCACTGAGAAGATCAGTCAGGGGAGACACGATACAAGCAAAATTCCTACAAAACCCTCTGTAATACCCAGTCATTCCCAAGAACCTGCGTAACTGACGTTTGTTTGTGGGAGTGGGGAACTCTAACATGGCAGTTATTTTAGCCTCAATTGGTCGCACTTGTCCTTGACCAACCTTTTTCCCAAGATAGGTTACAACTGCTTTTGCAAATTCACATTTGGTCAAATTCAAAGTAAGCGAAGCTTTTTCCAAGCGCTGGAAAACATACTCGAGGGACTTTAGATGTTCTTGCCACCCATCAGAATAGATGACTATGTCATCCAAATATGCTGCACAGTTTGGAATGTTAACCAGTACCTTATGCATCAACCTCTGGAATGTCGCAGGTGCATTTCGCATCCCAAAGGCGAGAACGGAGTACTGCAAGAAGTTATCTGGTGTCACGAAAGCAGAAATTTCTGAAGCTCGTGGTGTTAAAGGAACTTGCCAGTAGCCTTTCAAAAGATCAAGCTTAGTTACATACTTAGCTGATCCAACTCGGTCTACACGGTCTTCTAAACGGGGCAAGGGAAAAGAATCTGACTTAGTGATACTATTCACCTTCCAATAGTCCGTACAAAAGCGATAAGTAGAATCTGGTTTTGGGACTAATAAGCAAGGTGAACTCCAGGGACTTTCACTAGGCTTTGCAAAACCATTCTGGAGCAAATACTCAACTTCAGCCCTCATAATCCTACGCTTAGCAGGATTTACTCTATACGGGAACATCAATGTCATGAACAAGAACATTCGTCTGGCTTGGAACATCAGAGAACAAAGTAGGATATCCTCTGATCAGTTTACCCACTTCACCACATTGTTGCACAGGAAGATAAGACAAATAAATGTCTAGATCAGACAGAATGGCTGAGTTTTGCAAGCGTCCACCCGAAAACTTAGCATCACACCCAGTCAATCCATCATTCTCAGGACTGTAAACAAGGAGCAAAACAGCAGACATGACAGGTACAACTTTTAAGTCAGTAGCTTCACCTCCACCCCTTACAATATAGGGCTTCATCATATTAATATGACAGACTCTAGTTTTCCGCTTACGATCAGGGGTGCAAATTACATAGTCAGTCTCACTCAATTTTTTATCCACCGTGTAAGGACCAGAGAATTTGGCTTGTAAAGCTGACCCAGGCACAGGTAATAAGACAAGAACCTTATCACCAATTTCAAAGTGGCGTGCTACACTCTTTTTATCAAAATGTGCTTTCATTTTGGACTGCACAGAGGTAAGATGAGATTTTGCGGTTTCACAAGCTTTATGAAGTCTCTCACGGAATGAACTCACATACTCAAGAACAGATGTGGGCGAGGATTGTTTAGACAGTAAATGCTCTTTAAGCAATTTTAGTGGGCCGCGAACAGTATGACCAAATACTAATTCCGCGGGACTAAAACCCGTTGACTCTTGTACGGTCTCTCTTACTGCAAACATTAAGAGGGGCAGACCTTCCACCCAATCTTTCTCAGTTTCCACACAATAAGTTCGGAGCATGGTTTTTAGAGTTTGATGAAAGCGCTCAAGCGCTCCTTGAGACTCAGGATGATATGCAGACGACAAACGATGACTAACACCCAACTCTTTTGCTACCTGCTGGAACACTTTGGAAGTAAAATTAGTTCCCCGGTCAGTCTGAATAAGCCTAGGTAGGCCAAAAATGGAACAAAACTTCACTAGCTCCTTCACTACAACACTGGCTTTTAGTGATCGCAAGGGAATCGCATCAGCATATCGAGTGGCTGCACACATAATTGTTAAAACATATTGATGTCCTGATTTGGACCTAGGCAATGGCCCAACACAGTCAATTATCAGACGCTCGAAAGGTTCAGTTATAACAGGAATAGGCTGCAAATGCGCTAAAGGAACCACCTGATTGGGTTTCCCAGCTACCTGACAAGCGTGACATGAGCGGCAAAACTGAGATACACTGGATTTTAAACCAGGCCAAAAAAAAGTGCTTGGCAATTCTTTTGTACGTCTTGGTTATGACAAGATGTCCCGAAAGGAAATGCTCATGTGCAAGTCTTAAAACGTGAGACCGGTAACTTGATGGTAGAACAATTTGATACATAGTATTCCAATCAGCCTCACCTGCCAATGAAGGTGTCCATCTACGCATCATCACTTCACCATCCCAAAAATAAGACACACCAGTTTTTGGAACGGTATTCGAATCCACAGCAAGTTCCCTACAGCTACTCAGAGAGGGATCAGATCTCTGAGCAGCAGCTAACTGTGGTTTTCCTTCACAAAAATGGTCAGTTGGGTTAGAAAAATCCTTGGACTCCCTCAAATTTTCAGGTTCGACTGACAGTTCACACTGTACTGAGTCAAAGGAGTCTTGAAACAAATTAGATAAATCCACTACATCCTCATATTTTCTTGCCTGTGCCCGTGTCACTACACATGCTGGAAAAACGGAAGGAAATTTAAATGCTAAACCAGACTGATCATCCAGCTCAGGCTTAATAGAAACGACTGGGAAAGGGAAAACTTTTCCACCGGCCAGATCATTACCAATGATAAGACTTACACCCTCTACTGGTAACTGTTCACGAACACCGAGTTGAACCAAACCTGAAACCAAATCAGAGACAAGGTGAACATTATGTAACGGCACATTAATGCAGCCTAGCTCCATTCCCCGAATCAATACATCAGCACCAGACTAGGTCTGCTCAGAAAACGACAACACATTCTCCAAAATAAACGATTGGGCTGCACCGGTGTCACGGAGCATAAGAACAGGTTTTTTCTCCCCACTACCAGGAAGAGAAACAAAACCATTTATAAGAAAAGGTTTGTATACTTCGATCTCTGAACACGAATCAGCTCGCTCGGATAACGCCACAGAATGAGCAAATGCTAAATTTTTAGGTTTTGCACCAGCCGATTTTTGCTTCCAGACCTTGCATTCTGAAATGAGATGGTTTGGATCTAAACAGTAAAAACAAACTCGCCGTTCTTCAGAACCTTTCGGCTTATGAGAGAAATCAGACTTCGAGCGGAACACTCTACTCGTTTCTCTGCACGATTCATTCACTACCAACGGCGCAATTTTGGCCTGACGTACAGAGGGAAAAATTGTCCTGTGCGTAAGAACAAACTCATCAGCAATCACAGCAGCATCTGCGAGCGTTGTTACCTTCTGCTCATTTATCTCAAGAGCCTGTTCTACAGGTAATGCAGAACAAATTTCTTGAGCTTTGCCTACCAAATTACATTGGAGAAGCAACACCCACATATCTCTTGGCCAATTCAATTTCTCTGCCACTCGCTCAAACGTAGTAAAATAGGAGTCAACCTCAGCTTCACGAAACTGTGGTACCAATTTTACATACTTACTGACATCAAAAATGGAATGCACAGGATCCGAATGGCCAGAAGAGGGTGGACTAAAACGAGGTGAAGGACTAGGCCGGTTACGTAATGCTTGAAGCTCAACCTCTAGTCTACGGAGTTTTATATCCCGAGCCGATTCAATTTCAAGAGCTTTAATCCGCAGCAATTGAGTCTCATGTTCTTGTTTTTTTTAAGGCAAGATCAAGTTCTTTTAATTGAACCGCGACTTTAGGATCAGAATAGGATACCTCGTAATCCATACCAGCTGAACTCACTTCATCAGAAGCCGGCTCCATCTCTCCACCCCTTTCACGCCCCTGTTCTGGAAAAACAGCAGTTTCCACTAACCTTTTATACAATTAGTCTTTAATCTCTTGCTTTCTCGCCGATCTAGAAACGGACATATTATAGAAGTCAGCTATTAACAACAGGTCACTTTTCCTACACGATTAAATTCCTCAAGCGTTGGAGACAATGTAAACGTAATCAAATCAAAATCCATACTATCTCACCAATATATGGATCTCCTCCCCCCTTAAGGAATTCAAAAACAGCCAAACAAAAAGATAAATAACTTACCCGTTTCAATGTTTGTAACCACAATCAATCGAGTGACGTTATTTATAAATGAACAAGCTTCTACGTCGACGACACCCCAATTTGCCTGCTTTACGCAAAGTTATAAATTTTGTTGAGACGAGCCCCCAATTCTGTTACGAGCTCCCCTGTCTAGGGTAGAGGAGAAGGAACCAATTAAATAAAATAAAGAAAGAATTTAAATAAACTAAACAAATTGTACGTCTTCAGAGCCCCTGTCTCCCGTCCCAGTACTGATTCAACACCCGAACCATAAATCAAACAAAAAAAAGATTTATTTAGGAAACATAGGAAAAACAGTAACAAAGAAAACGGAAGATCTTACATGGAAGCAATTAAATTCAGGAGGGGGTAATGGCCAAAATAACAAACAAAACATAGGTCTAATTATTTTAGTAAACTAAATAACCTAAACACAAAATAACGATGCAAACAAAAGACAATACTAAACCTACCTCCCTTACTACATATAAACAGGAGAAAAAGTATATAAAACAAATGGCACCCACCTCCCTACAGCTTCCTTAAATTAAAATATAAAGTGTTGAGAAAATAGCGAAACAAAACATGAAACAACTTGCCCTGCACTCAGGGGTTCAATAAAAAAGAGTCCTATAACAATCAACAACAAACAAGAAAACCACACGTCTGCGACAGGGACTCTTCGCAAGAGAGACGGCGGAAAAACCTCCCGCCCCTCCAAGCACTGGAAAACTATCCGGCTTTTATGGTAGGGCACACAGTCACAAGAGCGAATCAGCAGAGGTTGACACTCAAGATCGCTGATTAACAACAGGTGTTGCTACTTAACCTAGGAAAGCAGAAACAATAAAGACACACAACAGGCATACAGAAGAACACGTACGATGACGTAACAATATGTAAAGGGTTTACATTTTAGAAGCTGTTCGTACATTGATAATATGCATATTAGTATTCATCCAAATATAAAATAAAAAGTACGTGCTAGAACTACATTTTACATGCAAATACACTACCATTAAAAAATTTTGGGGTCAGTAAGATTTTTATTTATTTATTTATAGGATAGAAATTAAGTACTTTTGTTAGGCATGGATGCCTAAAATTTATTAAAAGTGGCATTTACAATTTTACATTGTTACAAAGGATTTCTATTTTAAAAAATGCTGTTCTTTTGAACTTTCTATTCATCTGAGAATCCCTCCAAAATGTACAAATGTAAAAAAAAATATTAAGCAGTGCAATTGTTTTTAACATATATAATAATCAGAAATGTTTATTGAGCAGCAAATCAGCATATTATAATGATTTCTGAATGATCATGTGACACTGAAGACTGGATTAATGATGCTAAAAATTCAGCTTTGATCACAGGAATAAATGACATTTTAAATGTAAAATCAAATAGAAAACAGCTACTTTAAATTGTAATACTATTTCACTGTATTACTATGTTATTCATCAAATAAATGCAGCCTTGGTGAATATAAGTGATTTATACAAAAAAAATATTAAAAAGTCTTGCCAACCCCAAAGTTGTGAATGGTATATGGTTGTACAGGCAATTGTTGTCTGTTGCTATATTGTGTATTATAGCCCAGTTTGAACGTTGTCTTGACTAGTCAGCATTTGGAAGTAATGTTTTAGTTCTGTCCACTTGCTTTAAACAGCGCTGTCATTAATACTGTCTCACACACCTCGACAGACGCGCTGCCACTGTATCCTGAACGGAGAAAGGAGTCTGATGCATCTGATGATTCGGTGAGCTCAGATCACTGGATGCTGACACAGACTGATCGTGCTGAAGAATCCCAGCAGGACTGCCCTGAACAACCTGAACAGAAGACCGTCAATGGAGTTTGTTCATCTTTGAGTCCATCCCTTCAAGAGCAGACAGTACATAAGAACTCACCAGTAGATGTTCAGGAAGGTACTGTAGTGTCCCGTTTCCATTTCTGATTATGGAGAATTTGATACAGAAGTGAAACGGTCTCCTATTCTGTTTTAGTGCTTTTGTGTAATATCGTGGGGCAGCTGGAGATTGTGAGTAATTCAAACGTCTCTTTACCTCAACGGACTCTCTCATACCTGCTCTTATTGTTCACACTGCCAATCTGGAGTGCCACAACCTTATGGGACAGGTACTGATCTAATTATGGTTTATTTAGAAAAATGTTTAGTGACTTTATTAAACAATATATGTGGTTTTGGTGCTCTTTAGCTGTAGCGCATCAGTTCAAGTGGCACTGGCATGTGGATCGATCATCTCTTCTGCGTTACTTGTAGATACAGCACTAAATAATTTTGTTTTTTATAATTAAATAAGAATGAACATCATGTAAGGTGTGTTGAAAGAAACAGTACAACTTGCTGAACTATATAATGTTTGATGTAATCACTCAATCAGTGTTTCAACTGCGGAAAGACGTCAATGAAACGGCTTGTAAACAATATTTCACCTATAATGTATAAAGAAGCCTTCCCCTACGGCCATCCGGCACCTATTAGAGCAAATTGCAGAGTAAATTTCCTGGCGATGTTGTCACCCTGCATGATGCAAATGGGCATGGTGAGTGCGTTGCCTGTCTGGGCAGTGCCCAAGCAGAAGCTGTGCTCACAGGGACGAATTATGTCACTGCGAGAGCATGAGTCTTGGCCTTCTACGCTCGCGGATCAACTTCTTCCACAAAGGCGGTCCTTCCCGGCCTGCTCTCCCATTTCTTCCCTCCCAAGAGCCTAAGAGGAAGAAACAGCGGCAGGAAGAAGGCAGCGGGGCTCAAACACCGGGCTCGAATGAACTCACGCCGGCACAGGTCCTGCGTGCTTCACTCTCCCTGCAACATCTCGACTCGCCTGTGTGCTTCACACGTGAGGATCAGTGCCCCTCATTGGCAGCGAGCAGCTTGATTTTCATTTGGCAGGTCTGAGGAGGAAGTTGTCGTGGATGACTTGATGTCATTGACAGCTTCAGATGCAGAGGAGTGGGTGTGTTCTGGCAAAGATCCTGACACCCTCCTTCCAATGCAAGCAACAAGGCCCAGCATGGACAGCAAGCTGATCCGCATTCTCACCAAGGCTGTGGAGGATCTAGGCCTACCTTCGTTGTCTCCTGAAGAGTCAGTCCGCGGCCTCTTAGACGAGTGGTACCTGAAGGGACGCAGTCAACGATCATCCTGCCAGCGGCACGCCCCGTTCTTCCCGGAAGTTCATGAAGAACTCACCAGGACGTGGCGTGCCCCCTACTCTGCGCGCTAATCCTTCCACTTCTGCCGCTCTCACCACTGTTGACGGCACTGCAGAACGAGGTTATGGTAAGCTCCCCCCCTCTCAAAGAGGCAGTTGATGCGCATCTGTGCCCTTCATGTCTCCTGAAGAGTCAGTCCGCGGCCTCTTAGACGAGTGGTACCTGAAGGGACGCAGTCAACGATCATCCTGCCAGCGGCACGCCCCGTTCTTCCCGGAAGTTCATGAAGAACTCACCAGGACGTGGCGTGCCCCCTACTCTGCGCGCTAATCCTTCCACTTCTGCCGCTCTCACCACTGTTGACGGCACTGCAGAACGAGGTTATGGTAAGCTCCCCCCCTCTCAAAGAGGCAGTTGATGCGCTACTGTGCCCTTCATCGACCCTGGGGTTGAAAGCCCATGCAGCGCACCCATCTAAGCCCTGCAGAACTACCTCAGCCATAGCAAACAGGGCTTATTCAGCAGGCTGGCCAGGCTGGTTCAGCGCTTCACATGATGGCGGTGCTCCAAGTGTTTCAGGCCAAACTTCTCCGCACCATGGATGAGTCCGGCCAGAGTTCTGATGCATTTAGAGTGCTGCACAAAGCTGACTTGGCTCTGCACGCTACTAAGGCCACTGCACATGCGATCGGCAGGGCCATGGCCAACTTGGTGGTGCTGGAGTGCCACCTTTGGCTAAATCTGACAGAGGATCAGGAACGCTGACAAAGTCGTCTTCCTAGACTTGCCAGTCTCTCCCAAGGGACTGTTTGGCCCTGCCGTGGATGGTTTTGCTGAGCGGTTTACAGCGGCACAGAAGTCATCGCAGGCAATGCGTCACTTCCTGCCGAAGTGCTCCAGTGTGGCGACTGTTTCAAGTCGCCAGAAGGCTCCATCCTCTCAGCAGCCTGCCAAGCCGGTGCCGCCTCAGCCCCAGCTTAAGTCTGAGCCTGGGCTTCCGCAGCACCCCTGGATGGCGAAATGCTACCCGCCCCCGTGTGACGAACTGCCACTCGAAAAACTCAGACCACTTGCCATCCGGCTCCAGGCTTGGAAAGCCATCCCGGATGTGTCAAGTTGGGTTCTAAAAACCATATAACGAGGCTACTCGCTCCAGTTCGCTTGCAGGCCACCTCGCTTCAAACTTCGGTACGGGACAACAATGCTCACATTCTACGGTCCGAAGTGCAAACTCTGCTTGCAAAAAGAACCATGGAAACGGTTCCTCTAGCAAACAGCAACTCAGGATTTTAAAGCCGTTACTTCCTTTAAGTTCCCAAGAAAGATGGCGGGCTCAGGCCCATTCTCGACCTCAGGCATCTGAACCACTCGCTTATGAAATGGCTGTTTAAGATGCTGACTTTGAAACAGATCCTCGGTCAAATATGCCCTGGGACTGTTTTTTATCAGTGGATCTGAGAGATGCTTACTTTCACACCCAGATAGCCCCCCATCACAGACCGTTCTTGAAATTTGCGTTCAAGGGAGTGGCCTATCAATATACAGTCCTGCCATTCGGACTGTCTCTGGCCCCACACACTTTTACAAAGTGCATGGACATGGCTCTTTCCCCTCTGAGGCAGATGAAAATCTGCATCTTGAATTACCTCGACGATTGGCTGGTTTTAGCCATATCAAAATGGGAACTGCTGCTCGGTCACCTGGAGCGGCTTGGGTTGAGAATCAATTTAGCCAAGAGCTCTCTGTCTCCCAGCCAGCGAGAAGTCTTTCTGGGGACAGTTATCAATTCTGCCCAGATGAAGGCATGGATTACGCCAAAACGCTCCTTGATAATTCAGCAGCTAGCGGTGTCATTTAGACTCAGGACTTCATGTACACTCAGGGCTTTGTAGAGGATGCTCGGCCTCATGTCCTCTGTGTTTCCTCTGGGCCTGCTTCATATGCAGCCCCTCCAATATTGGCTCAAAGCCCATGTCCTGTCCCACACTTGGCGCCTGGGATGTTTTTCATCTCGGGGTAACCCACTGCTGTATCAGAGCTGTGGGATCTCGGAAAAAAGCGACTTCGTTCTGCACTTGCTTATAGCATGGCACTATTGAATGCATTTCCCATAAGCGTGTAACGCAATGAGAGACCTTCGAAAAGGAACGCTCCAGTTACTTACATAAACTCAGTTCCCTGAGAAAAAGGAATGAGCGTTGCGTAAGCTGGCGTGTTATAAGGTTGCACACGAGTCAATGACTGTCACTATCAGTCAAAAGATTCTGATGAAATGGCGCTCAGAGCTAACTTATATAGCAGTCAGCTCCACCCCTTTTGGGTGGGCTGAAGCGCCATTGGTTCGTGCAGCTGCACGAACGTGAACAAATTAGGCTTCAGTATCAGAGTAAACAGGAGTTTTGCCCATAAGGGTGTAACACAACACTTGTTCTCATATTTCAGGGATTCGAGGTTAAGTAAGTAACCAGAGCATTTTTGCGGTAGCTCTATAGCATCACTGTTGAAGAGTAGTTAGCTGGTGAAGTGGATTTACTTATTGTAGATTTAACGAAAAGTTATCATGAGCATTGTGATGTTCAAAGCGCATATCACTACAAATGTCAGACCAAGAGGATTTTAAAATGAGCGGTTCATTCATAAATTCGTACAATATTACCTTCACGCTGTGAAAATACAAACTGTAACACAGAGGGCCCTATTTTAATGATCTAAGCACATGGTCTGAAATGCATGGCGCAGGTGCACTTATGGCGTGTCCGAATCCACTTTTGCTAGTTTAATGACGGGAAAAACGGTCAGCACTCCAGGTGCATGGTCCAAAAGGGTTGTACCTATTCTCTTAATGAGTCATGGGTGTGTTTTTCCATTCCCTTTTTTTGTGCTCGCACCATAGCGGATTAGCTATTTACATGGCAAAAGCAAAGACTGAACGCTTCTCCAGAAAGGAAACGGATCTGCTCATGCGCAAGGTTAAAGCGTGCAAACAGACCATCTACGGGGCACAATAATCTTTTACATTGTAATCCTTTCATTTTAAATATTTGCCATGTTTGTGTGCGTGCTGTGCTGTGTGTGTAATAAGCAGAGTGTACGTGCGTTGTACCCCTGCCTATAGGCGCATATTACTAACGTGCCGTTTAAACAAATTAAAAAATACTGTGTCATTGACTTTAGTTTACACCTGGTTTTAGTTGGTCAGTGGCACAATCGTTTTAAGTTGCCTCAAAATAGCAACGCGCCAACAATGTGCCTGAACACACCTTGTTTTCAGACCAGCACGCCCATGGACGAACAGATGGGCGCAAGTGCATTTGCTATTTAAACAACATGGTGCTGGACGTGAAAATGATAACCCTGTCGGGCTGAAACTATCAAAAAACACTTGCAAAAACACTTGTCTTGTGTCGCGTTGCGCCGGGGGTATGATAGGGCCCATAAAACAACAAGCCTAGTGCTAAAAAGGGGTGGGGCTACATAATAAATCCATGTATTATATTACATATTCGTTTTATTTTTACTTAACCTGTTGTCTTTATTATTTACATTTACATTTAGTCATCAGACGCTTTTATCCAAAGTGACTTACAAATGAGGACAATGGAAGCAATCAAAATCAACAAAAGAGCAATGATATACAAGTGCTATAACAAGTCTCAGTTAGCTTAACCCAGTACACGTAGCAAAGGTTTTTTAAATAATATAATAAAAAAAAGAAAACAGATAGAATAGACAAAGAATAGGCCTAGAGCAAGCTAGTGTTAGAGGTCTTTTTGCTTTTGTCAATTGTATAATAAATGAAAAGAAAACAGACAGAATACAAAAAGATTAGAAAGCAAGTGTTTTTTTTTAAGAAAACAAGCAGCAAATGAATAGAGCGCAAGTCTAAAAGGGAAAAGTTTTTTTTTTTTTAAGAATAGAATTAGAATAGAGAGTGCTAGAGTTAGAGGGTCAAATAAAGATGGAAGAGATGTGTTTTTAGCCGATTTGTGAAGATGGCTAAAAAAATAAAAATTACCTGCCCATTTAAAAGTCTGTGAAAGTGACTTTGTGCTTCTTTGGGATGGCACAATAAAGCGACGTTCACTTGCAGAACGCAAGCTTCTAGAGGGCACATAAGTCTGAAGTAATGAATTTAGGTAAAGGGGTGCAGAGCCAGTGGTGGCTTTGTAGTAAATTCTAATTTAATTTGATTTAATTAATTAATAAATTTTAATTTATTTTGATTGAATTTAATTTAATTTGCAGTACATTTCTAATTTTGGTGTATTATGTATATGTTTGAATAGATCTGTCATGAAAACAAGTTTATTACAGCCACTGTTTAAATGTTTATATTTCAACAACAAATTGGAATAGAAACAAAATTACATCATAATTTGTTGATATAAAAACAGCCTTATGTACAATGTTTATACAACTTGGTTTTTTGAGCATTGATTATTAAAGGGATACTTCACCCAAAAATGAAAATTCTGTCATTACTCACCCTCATATCGTTCCAAACCCGTAAGACCTTTGTTCATCTTCGGAAAACAAAAATATATTTTTGATTAAATCCGAGATTTCTGACCCTGCATAGACAGCAACGCAACTGAAACGTTCCCAGACCCAGAAAGGTAGTAAGGACAACCTTAAAATAGTCCATGTGAAATCAGTGGTTCAACTGTAATGTTATGATGCTACGAGAATACTTTTTGTGCACAAAGAAAACTAAAATAATGACTTTATTCAACTATTTCTTCTCTTCCGGGTCAGTCTCTGCTGCAATTCACAAGAGTACCACAACGCGTGTGCATTCCTCTGCTTGTAAACAAGGCGCAGCGCATGCGTGTTCTACATCAGAACATTGGCTCCTGCGTCAGCAGCATCACGCACATGCGTCGTGTTACTCTCAGATTTCTGAGTTTCAGTATAAAATTAATTTCGGTACATCACTAATTTTCTTTAAATGCATAAAACTGACATAATTAAAAGCTAAAATTGAATAAGACGCACAGCCTAGGTTTTTAATTTAAAATTCAACATTTTAACGCTGCTCATAAGCACTCATGATTTGTTGTTTCACAGGTACCATAAATGGATCACTAATGCTATGACTGTGGCATACTGGCTCTGGCATGGTATTAAGCTATTCATGATCTTCATACTCAAAATTGTACTGTCCTCAATGAGGAAAGCCCTTGGAGACATGTAAGCACACAGTAAAAAAACATTTTCTGCTGTAAACTTTTACTGTTTCCATTGTGGAATCATAACTCTCTTCTATCTTTTGCAAAGAATGCTGAGTCTGATCAGTTTCATACCTGCGCAAGTTCACGATGAGCAGCATAGACGCAGAGAGTTGGCTGAGAGACACATGGCCTCCTCTAATCTGAATGGTCACGTCTCTGCTGTTTTCCCGCCGAGTCCCTCCATGGCACAGACCCTCCCAAACCTCCACACACTCCTGATTTCACTAGAGGCAGCAGAAAACAAGTGGAGAAGACGCAAGATAGAGGTGCAACACACTTTACAGCAACACGTGGCTTATGTGAAAAGAATTTAAAAACATACAAGCAATGTGAGATGGTTAAAAGTTGATAAATTGTTCTGTGCTGCTTCAGATGGAAAAGTTTCATTGTTTCTTAAATCTAAATACTAAATACATATACTAACATACAACTAGCAATTGTACAGGATATATAAAATAAAAAAATAAAGGATTTTTACTAAATGTCTAAGGTAACATTAAAATATTATTATTTTATATTATTATTATAAATATTTTTAAACATTTACATTCACCAAGTTGTATAACAGTACTACTTAATTCTATTATTTTTATCAACAGTAGTAACAGTAAGAAAAACACAGATCTGCATATAGTTTTGTGGAAAAAATGAAAACCCATTCATAAATATTATTCTCAGTTATGCTGTCAACTTTTCCAGTTTTAATCATTTTAACATTACGTATTATAAAAAATAAAAGAGCCACTTGTTTAATTGTGTTGTTTCCTTAATATTCTTCTCACACACTTAAAATAGGCTTTTATACATGAAAATATACAGCTGCCTGGCCACCATAAGGTATGAACATTTTTTATTGTTTTATTATTTGTTTTTATTGTTTATCTTAAAATTTTATATATATATATATATATGCAATCAAAACCAACAAAAGAGCAATAATATGTAAGTGCTGTGACGAGTCTCGGTTAGTCTAAGGCACTACACGTAGCAAGTTTTTTATTTTTTTTAATAATGAATAAAAAAAAAACAAGTAGATACTGTAGAATAGAAAATTAATAGAGAATGCTAGTGTTAGAGGGTCATTTTTTTATAATAAAAAGAAAACAAGTAGTTAGAATAGAAATAAAATAGAGAATGCAAGTGTTAGAGGATCAAGTTTTTTTTTTGTAATAAGTATTAGTAGTTTAGTAGAAAGTATAGTACTATAAACTATACTATAGTAAGAATAGAGAGTGCTAGTCAAGTGTAGACGGAAGAGATGTGTTTTTAGCCGTTTCTTGAAGATGATGGCTAAAGACTCAACTGCTCACACTGAGTTGGGCAGGTCATTCCACCAGCAGGGAATATATATATGATTTAGTTAATAGAAGTTAATTGATAAATAAAATCTATTCATGACATTATTTTATGAAAGTATCCTCACTTTAAAGCATTTTTACACAAGTGCCTAGAACAGTACTGTAGCTTTGTAGGAAGGTTGGAGACGTTCGTTGACACAGTTCTTCTGGATTTAGTATGTCTCAGTTTTTTTTGTTTCTTCATGTCATTCCAGACGAACTGGATGATGGCGAGATCAGATCTCTGTGTGGAGCACTGGCTGTTGTCAGACTCCTTGTGCATACAAAGATCTCACTGGATTATTACAATGAATGGCAAAAGGAATGTTTGGAAATGTAAACTGATATTTCCTACTGACCCACTACAGCAAAAGATAGAAATAACTGACTTAAACCCATTTTTT